TCCTATGTAGGCAGCAATGAGGCAGATGCTGGAACATGGCACATTCCACATTGAAGACAACTTGCTAAAGTAAGGGCAGATCCACACCTGGTGTCTCTAGTCACCTGTGATAGATATTGTCCATGAAGAACATCTGCTGCCCGTGTATCTTTAGAGAGTTTATAAAATTGTTTGCACTTTTGACTCTACTACATAAAAACTCTCAACCTGAAGTGTAAAATTAATCAAGATATCAGCATAACACTCTATAGCATCAGATGTATAACCTTTACACAGAAAGTGTAAAGAAAAGCTTAAACGAAAAACAACTGGAATACTTTAACTGATATTGAAAGAACTGATCATGTGATGCAATCGGAATCTAAAACTAAGACTGGCATTTGCAGAATGCCCTATCATGATTGCACTGTGGGCACTTCCAGAGGTAAGAAAAGAAACTGATGTTAAAAACTGGATAAAGTTCAACAAAATTTCACTTTTCTAGCAAAGAATTTATAGTGATTATAAATACTTCGTAGATAGAGTAGCTGCAATCTGTGATTTGATATGACAACCGTATACCTGAAAACTCATGTTACTGTTGTGTAGAGATGTTGATTTTGTTTTCACGAGTCAGCAATGGATTGAGGCAACGCTAGTGGAATTCCATTGGCTTCAGCAAATCTGTATTGTGAAATGCACCTTACCTTGTTCCGTGTTTCAGATTCTTACACATTCTGGTAATTGGAAGGCCAACAATTTAATCTTGGAATATAAACTAACACTGTATAAATAACCTGCAGTTGTCCCCATCTTCAACATCTCTCTGTGCTGGCTGATATGCAAAAGGACAGAAGAGCATACAAGCCAAGTGAAATCCTATGGATGAGAGAAATTTTATCATTTTAAATGCAATATCAGAGATGTGATTTGTAGATTTGATAACACTCAAAATTCTTTGCCTTTTCCATTAGTTTGTTATTTGAACCTCTGTAGTAAGCACTGAATTTTTGACATTATTTTATTTATTTATTTATTTTTTTAAAACAGTGACAAACAACAGAGTTTTAAATATGTAGGTTCTCCAGATCAGAGAATGCAGAGGTGCAGTTCTGTACCAGGCACTTTGGAAAACAAGGTTCTTAGGTATAAAAATTTTGTTTTGCATTGGGATTAAAGATTGTGGAAACAGTTTTTACCTTGGCACCATTACTAAGTACCCTAATGCTCTCTCCCATCATTGTTTAGAACAGTTGTTATACCACTTAACAGACACCCAAAACTCCACAGCTAGCTTGATTTGAATGATGCTGTGTGCATGCTGGTTTAATATAACCTTGAGCTACCCTTTGGGCAAAGGAGAGTTTGAAAATTAAAAAGCTTTAGAAATACTTTATCCATCAACAGAAAATATTTTATACAAACCCGAAAGATTGTGGATTTTTAAAATCTCATTTAAGAAGCTACATATTTTACTTACTGCTGTTGCTCAATGAAAATAAAAAAGAATTTCTTATAGAAAAAAAAATTGCTTTAAATGAGACACTTGAACAGAAAGACTTGTGTGCCTATGAACTATGAAGCAGTTCCAGACTGCTTATACTCTGCCTTAAAGCTGTGTATTTTTCTCAGTACTTATGCAACGCATTTATATTGGAAGGCCCTCTTAAAACTGGGTGATCTATTGGTTTAGGGAGCTAAAGATTAATTCCAGATGTAGTCATGCTACTCTAGCCTTTCAGAAAGTAACTACTGCACCATCTGTTTTGTAATAGACAATTTCAAAGAGTGCCAAGGGGGATGTTAAAGACATTGGTCAAATGGCCACATATACCTCACACACAGGAATTCTGGAGGTCACAGTGCCTCAGAAAGATTCATATTTTCACTTCCCCACCCCTCCCTATTCTTCCAACATGTAAACTGAAGGAACAGCTTTCTTTCCTCCAAAAATAGGAAGGAAATGTTTTCCAGATTATTAGCAGTGTTGACACATTTGAATCCAAATTCAGACCTAAATTCAGTGAAATGACTGGAATTCTTGGTGACATATCTGTTATACCTGCCACACTTTGGGATCCTTGTAAGTTATGATGAACAGCTTTGTTTTGTTTTAAATGAACTCGGTAGCAGGAGGTTAATGATAAACCGACTAAATCTGGCTGGGGACCCAAGATAAATGAAGGGTACAACAAGTAATGAAGGGTTATTCCAGATCGTGATAATTCTCCCTGGTTATTCCAGGAAGCGTGAAGTAAAGCAATTGTGTGCATTTTTTTAAACTACAGTGTTACGCATCAATACCTAAATGTCTGGTGTATACCACAGATGCACTCAGGTGTAGCTAAATTCATCACAACTGTAAAGTAGGAATAAGAGAAGTTCTCTCAACACTTCCTAAGTATAGATTTGAACTTAACAGCAGTAATTCATGATCTATACAAATAATCCTACAAAAAGATCTAAAATGAAAACAAAATGAAACAGAAGATACAATTATAAGTTAGACAGTCACAGTCTTGTGCAGTTCCAAAGAGTCACTTGTGTTGCAGTGACACTAAGTAAATCACTGGCAAAAATAAAATAATAAAATTAACAATATGTGAACAGTTCATTTCTATTTAGTTTTCCCAACATATGCAGGTAGGTTCTGTAACAAATTCTGTAATCAATTATTACAAAAATAGCTTAGGACTAGCAGACTAGTGTTCCTACTTAGGTTTCATTCGTTCTGCTTTGTTTCTCTCAATTCAAGAGCACTATGCAAAATTAGTACCTTAAACTGTAACCCTTGTGCCTGGGTTCAAAGTAAGGCAGGTAAGATAGGAACATCAGTTCCTTAGCGTTTGCCCCTCTTGGATTTTGTTTGAATTTGTAAGTCAGTTTCTATTGCAGTGGTATAAGGGAATTCTATGCAGGAAGATCTGCACTTTTTCAGTATTAAATGATACTAAACAAAGAATAGTTGGAAAACAGAACGAGAAATGTCTGCTTTGGAGGTCTTTATCACAGTCTTTAAAATATCACCTTAAAGTATCACCTAAGATGCTAATATACATATGGATGTGGGAGGATGCACACACATCTGTTCACAAAAGCAAAGACCACACCTTAGGACGAGATTTAATTTAAAATATTAGACTCAATAAATGACACTTAGAACTATCCATTACATTCTGCAGCTCAGGAAGAAAATGGCACCTAAAAAAGGATCCAAAATAGACGGTATGTTAGGGGAAAACGATGAGGACAGAGATTAAAGGAATCATTAAGAAAAGACAGTTTTGAAATCTCAGCATTTACAGAGCTAATGTTTTTAATCCTGGTCTTTAGAAACATCTCTAATGTCATTTTACAGAAGTACCCCTACTCACTATTAAAAAAAAAAAAAAAAAAAAAAAAAGCCAAGCAAAAAAGTAGCAATTTCAATAAAAGTCACTTTTCCAATCCAATGAACTTCCTGAGTCTGGTCTTCTTGGAAGAAAATAACTCCAGATCTAAGAGGTATTTATGGACAGTTTTTGTTGAATGATGATAATACACCTCAGTTTTTCTTAAAAAACTGGTAACTTCTTTTGTTGGTCCTAAAACACAGTAAACAATTTCAAGAGTCACATATGCTGTTATACTTCTTTGCAGCGTAGGCCAAATTTTGCGTTTGAGTCACACAACACAGAACTAAGGACTGAGCCATCCTTTCAAGCAAGCTCAAGAAGTGGCTTCGGCAAGTCATTAGCTGGAACCCAAGGAAAATCAAGAAACTTGAAATCTGTAACTAACTGCTCTGTCCTTATTCCATAGTGGACCTCACTCCAAATCCAACTCCAACTCTAAGAATAAATCTTTCAGAGTTTACTGTTTTGTGAACTGAGACAATAATTTGCTCCAGCTGAGCCCATCTACTCATCTGCTTGACTATGAGGACATGACACCCATGATACATCTTTCGCACCGGAAAAAATGTGCCAGCCACTTGCTAGCCATTGGGTAGGTCATCCACACTTTGTTAAAATTATCTATTTTGTTTAAGTTGTAAAGATCTGACACTATGCAGCCCAGATAAAAGAGCAAGCCTTTTATTTACTCGACTTGAGTTCAATTTGTGACAGTAGTTAATCATTCACAAGCAAAAGAATAGAGTTTTAAAAAATAACACATTTGTTCCTCACCGCAGAAAATTAAGACATGGTGTACTGTTTAAGAAGTACAAAATGCATACTCCATGGGCTCAATTGTGTTTCTACAGCACGTCTTTTGTAAAACTTTGTTATCACTGTAACTTTCATTGCACAGTAGGAGACTGTGCTACTGCCCTCTCTTTATAAGTTGGTGCCAAAAATTGTACACAGGAAGGCCTGTTTCCATTCTCAGTGATCTTTTGGAATGACAGGATACTAGTTCTTATTTTGAAGACTTTTTTTTTTTTTTTTTTCTTTTGCATCTAGTCAGGATGCCACCACCTGCCCATACCACAGTTTTGGCACGCTGCAAGCTTCACGTCTCCACGAGTAATTACAGATTTCCCTGTTCGGTGTGACGGGAGGAGCTGTTTGCTGGCCAGGGGGTTACAAGCGTGATCTGATGAACAGTACAGAAATAATGCTGGCCACAGGGCTCGGGGGCACAGCTATGCTGGTAGCTTGCCAAGGTCTCACTAGCATGTGTCCTGCTGTGCTGCCTTCACCACCAGCTCACGTTCCTCCCAAGAGAGCAGAAACTGAAGGCCTGCAGCTGTCCATGGGGAGACAGGTGACACCGTGCCACTGCAACCTTTGTACTCCAGAAAGGTTTTCAACAATGTTTTAACAGACTCTGGGCTTTGTAATATTAGGTATATCTATGATAAATATAAATGTATGAGAAGTTCCGTGCACTGAACGCGTAACATCTGCAACTACTTGCAAAGGCTGCACCCATCTCAAAATCTGCCTTTTAAGGTTCTGTTCCGAGAATTTACAGGCCATTCCAAACCGGACTCCCCGAAACGCAGCCCTGCCCTGCCTAAAACCCGGGGCCGGGGCCGGGGCTGCAGGCCGCAAGCGGTGGGCCGGGCCTAGGCGCGGGGGCCGCCGGGAGGCCGAGGGCGCCGGGCTGAGGACGGCGGCTCCATGAGCTGCCAGGTGAGTGCCGCCGGGCGGGCGCGAGTGGGCACCGGGCACTCCCCTGGTCTCCAGCGGGGGCATTCTCGGTTCTCGCGGCAGAAGCGTCGGGCGGAGCCGCCTGCAGTAAGCGCGGATCCACGGTCGCCTACAGAAACGTCCCCCTGTCGTCCCCAGGTGACGGTGCTGTACTTTGCCAGGAGCGCGGAGCTGGTGGGGCTGCGCTCCGAGAGCGTCTCTGTGCCGCAGCGGATCACCTCCCTCCAGCTCTGGGAAGAGATCGTTAAGATTCATCCCAGGTATCGGGGAAAGCGCCGCGTACAGGCGGTGCATAAAGCCTGACGTTCGTGGGGTGGAGGATTTGTTTGTTTTGTTTTAAGAAATACAAGTTCATCTTACAGGCTCGAGCTAGAGGCTGCAGCAGTGCTTTGGCATCAGAACAGCAGTGAACTTCTCTTTGTGTTGTAATAACCTCAAGTGAGCGTTTTGGCTGTGAGCCAGTTGCAAATACTGCTGCTTTACATCTACATTAAAAAGGCTAAATCCGATAAACGCACCCCACAGCTGGGTATTGGAGAGGTCTGAGGTCCTGTTGTCCAGGATGGCCTCCACAAAGTCACTGCATAAAGACAGAAAGCACTACCTGTGGAAAGGCCAGGTGTCCCAGGAGGGGATGCAGCCCAGCTGCAGCGATAAAGTAAGAAGGTCTGATCGTAGGCAAGTGTTTTTTGATCACTTACCTCTAGCTGTATTCTCAGTTTATGGCAGTCTCTGGAAGGCTAGTGAAGAAGGGAACTAAGGCCCTGGCCCAAGCTTCCTGCCAAACAACCCTTACACAAGAAATAGGCTCAGCTGTTTTCAGCCTCTTCTGACTGGGGGAAAAAAAGACACTCTTGATTGCATTTCACAGGGAGTCTTGTTTTTTGGGGGCGACAGCAAGAGTGCCTTCATTGGTCAAGGCTGAAGAGTGTGTTGGAGCCTACTGATGATAAATCAGATGCAGAAAGGTGTAGCGTCATTTAGTCAAAAAGAATAAAAGTATAGCGCATAACAGAAGTTACGGGCTTACTGCTGAATGCACCAGGATTTCCACCATTTTAGCTCTAGTTTTCTAGTTTCTTCCAAAGTTTTCCTTTGTGCTCAACACTTCTGTGCTCAAGCTAAAATGTTATGAGAAAAAGAATAAAAATTTAGCAATGCTGAGTGTTTCTAAAGGAGTTTTAGAAGAGGAAGGGATGGGTAGAATAAGATGGGTAAGTAGAGCTTTAGAGTAAGGAATGGATGTATTTTACTTTGCAACGTATTATTCTATTTGGTATCAGAAGCACTAGCACCTTTGACGGTTTATCGTAGTTTGTCAAATTCACCCTGTTTTGAAAGGTGACTTGCTGTCCTACATTTTGCATGTGCACATGCCTTTCACAGTGGCCTTCTTGGAAAATGCTTCTGTTCCTAGATTTTCTGGAAAAACTCAACATAATTGTAGGGCACTGACCACAGACTTCTATTCACGTTGCTAATGGATATTCAAACTGCAGCGTGAGCATACTTGACAATGCTCTTCTGTTCCACCCATTTTCCCCAATGAATTAACTTGCAAGTGACATTAATTAGAAACCATCCTTTTAATGGGCACTTCAGTTCCGTAGTTGTAGTCTGTTCTTTAATGGCTTGCTTTACTTTTGTACAGTCCCTCCCTTCAGTCTGTCCTCCAAGACAGCGCTACTGATTTTCGCTCAGACAGTGCCTTGCCTAGCTGGCTTTAGTCTAGCTGGCTGGTAGGAAATAAGTTGAATTTTACATGTACCCTTTTGGCATGCCTGCTTGTTTCTAGGCAGTGCAGCTATTCGCTGTCTGTGCCAGATTCTGTACTCTCAAACAATACAGTTATTATGCTGCATCTGCTAAAGTAAAAAGTTGGCATGATTTTCTAGTGCCTCAATGGTGTTGTCCTCATACTCTCTGTGTGACTGCACTTTGTTGTGAAAGCAAACCTTGTTTCATGGTATCCAGAGCTGTAGACTCTCACACCAACATCTCAGATGTGAAGGCCAACAGATATACGCAGAATCTGCAGAAATCACAGAGTCCTCACAGAATCACAGAATGGCCTGGGTTGGAAGGGGCCTCAAGGATCATGAATCTCCAACCCTCCTTCCACAGTCAGGGCCACCAGTCTCCACATTTAATATCAGACCAGGCTGCTCAGGGCCCCATCCAATCAAGCCTTGAACATCTCCAAGGAAAATGCACCCTATCTGCCCTCTTAGCAATGCTGTCACCCTCATCAGTAGCAGACTGCTGATCTGTAAGTACAGAAGACCAAAAGCCTTTTTGAGGTTACAGAACAAGAATAACAGTCTGACCACTGAATCTTCATGAGATCTTGAAAAACAAAGTATTGAGGGATGGTGTTCTTGACAAAAATTGCTGTGCAGTGCAACCACACTGAATAAGGAGAGCATTTCCTTTTAATCCCAAATCAGACAGTTTGTATATTCTTGAGTTATCTAGTTATTAGAAGCTTCTAAAGCGAGTCTGGCTTACGTTAGTTAATTTTTAATAAAATCCAGTGACAAATCCTGACTTTTGAAAATTGTCCTTAATTAGTTTCTCCCTAGCTCCAAGAAAAAAAAAAATATCAATGAAGTGGGTGCTTATAATGTATGGTATTTTTTTCTGGTGGCAGTGACAGGACCTGAGAGAATTGGCCTGAAACTGTGACAGGGGAGGTTTGTAGCACTGAGGTTGCTGTAGTTTGAGGAGCATCTGGACAGTGCACTCAGTCATGTGGTTTTGTCATTTGTTTTTTTGGGTGATCTTACTTGGAGCCAGGAGTTGGACTTGGTGATTCTTATGGGTCTCCTCCAAATCAGGATATTCTATGATTCTGTGATTTTGAGAAGTATATTGGAAGAGAGTTGCTTAAATCTCAGCAGCATTTACCTCAGTTGCCCCAGACTGTCTATCAGTTTGTTGTTAATGAAATCTCGTGGTTGAATGTAAACACTCTAATTAGAAACCTAACTGTGTTCCTGCCAATCCCCTCAGGCTTGCTGTCATCCGGGAGCAAGTGGTTTTTGCTGTTCGGCAGGAGTACGTGCTTCTTGGAGATCAACTTCTGGTCCTGCAGACAGGAGACGAAGTTGCAATCATCCCACCAATTAGTGGAGGCTGAATCTGTGCAAGTTCTGAGAGGTAGGTATCACTTCTTGCTTCACGTCCTGTAGAGGATCATCCAGTGTTAAAGTATCTGATGCATTCTGTACAATCTTTTTATAATATTTTCCTGGTAAGATTCTGAGATTTGGTATGCAATTATCCCCATCTACATCTGGTACTCTTTGGAGAAAGCGTAACTTTTGTTTCCTGCAGGAGAGAATTGCAGTGCTGACCACAAACTATAAGCTGTTGCATGAATAAATGATTAGCACACACAAGTAAACGGAATAAAATTGGCAATGAAGTCAAGCACTGTTTTGTTTTGTTTTTGCTTTTAGGTCTTATTTTCTTTGGTAGTTTTTTTCTGATTCTCAGTAGATATCCAGCTTGCATAAGTAAGATTTTTAACTGAAAAGATGCCACTTTTTAACATGAAGGATGATACAGAAGGAGAATTGTTTGCCAATTAAAAAAATACTTTGTTTTTTGCTGTCAAAGGGTCAAGCGTCTCTAGCACAGATTCGTGCTTTCCAGTGTAGCTTATTCTACTCCTGCTGCTCAGTCCACTTATATTCTTCCTCATCCTTAGATGAACTGGTAACTGGTGTATATACAAAGCATTTAGAAGTGGCACCAGTGTCATTGAAACAGCTGATAGGATGAAAACTTGCATGTTCTGGTGAGCATATTAAACTTTGAATTAAATGCAAGTTTAAACTGTGATTGATTATAGGATAAGACAGAAGGAATGGGCTGACAGGCTTACCAGAAATTTGCTAACATAGTGGTTTGTGCTAGTAGATTGTACTGTTGAACTGAACCTTGAACTAGTTCTTGTTTTGTCCTACTACACCAGACTTTCCTGCAAAGCAGGAGCCCATTTGCCTTAGAAAGAGATCTTCCCATGGTATTTGCACTTACTGTTCTCTCAGCAAGTCTGCTGAGAAGTGAATTTGCCATGAAGACTGGTCTCTTGGGGTGAGTAAGAAGATGGTACATGTTTTCTGAATAAATTGGGGCATCAGTATGGGATAAAAGGCAGTTGGCAAATGTTAGTACTGCCAAAAACAACTGCAGAATCTGTTTGGTTTTAGCCCTTCTAGGGAGCCATGGTTGAAAGAGAGGATGTGCCGAAAGATTTTATCAAGCTCAAGTCTGAAAAGCTGTCTGTAGATGAAGTGTCAGAACTGGTCATTTCACCATGCTGTGGGGCAGTGTCTCTTTTCATTGGTGAGTTTAAAGTTTTAGAGCTGGATCTCTGGATGTGTTAATAGTCTAATAAATGGAACCCAGCTTGTCCCACACCCCAAACTCGTGCTTCTCAAATAAATGCATTTCTGGACTGAACCCAGGACGTTTAGAAAACTCATTCTGAATTATTTAGAACAAGACCATGGCAACTCTTAAACAGTGCGTCGAGAGTGAGTGGTGAGAAGCTTCCCTGCTGGTGTGGCTGTTCTAGGACTGAATGGAGCAGCAGTGCTGGAGAGCAGTCCTGCTTATAAGTTACTCTGCTATTTCCCTGCACACAGTTTATTCAAGATGGAAAGTAGTGACTGCAATAAAACACAGGTACTCAACTGTGTGAAAACTGATGCAGTTCAGGTCTTGTTGAAAACAAAGTTTTGTTCTACCAGTGGGCCGGTGCAGTTTGAGTTTGCTGGCTCCACCCTGTTGTTTAAAATACGTGGTATAGATCTTCAAACTCTTTTTTTGCTTAAGCCTGAGTACCTGTGGGCTTTTAAGTACTAAGCACTTAAATAAATTAGCATAAAAGATGTTCCAGCTTTGAGCATTACAGACTGTGTATTTTCGTAATCTGTAGGCTTATTCCTTGTATATTGAAATTTCTTTTGTTTGAAGAATCTCTTTACATAGCCATAACTGGAGGAAGTCATTTATGTTTAGAGTGCTGTCCTTGGCCTTAGCAGGAGGTCCTGAGTTTTGCTCTGTTTTTTTTTTTCTGTTGCTTTCCTTTTATAACTGCATTTTTGTTTAGGTACTACGAGAAATAATTTTGAAGGGAAAAAAGTGATTCGCTTAGAGTATGAAGCATATGCTTCAATGGCAGAGATGGAAATAAAGAAAATCTGCAGAGATGTTAGACAGAAGTGGCCATCAGTCAAACATATTGCAATGCATCATAGACTTGGGTATGTACGGATAGACCATTCTTCTTCAAATGGTATACTAATCTTTGAATGACACTTGCATACTTGAAGGTTGTGCAGGAGTCTATAAAAGCTGTAAAGCATCAAAGCTTGCTACTGGATCGTGCTGTCAGTAAGGAACTAGGTTTCAGAAATAAAGTCTTGTTTTTCAAAATATTTTTATTAGTAGTATTTGCCAGAATCCATATTAAGCTGTCAGAAACCTCAATCCTGCTGTTATGGTTTAAGAGTGGAGAAAAGAGATCAAGATTTCCTTGCAGGAGAGAGCAGGCCATTATGTTTGTGAGGTTCTCTTCCACTGCTGCAAAGTGTTACTATTTTTTTTCCTGTCAAGTTTAAGTAATGGAACCTAAAATGTCAGAATATGAGGTTGAGAGAAAGGCATTGTAATTGCCAGTCATACTTGTAAAAATATCTCTTGTTATTCCTTGCATTGGATACACATTTTTTAATTGGATATAAACCATAGAATGGTTTAATATAGTCCTAAGCTTTCAATGTTCATCAGATTTTTGGCTGAAACTAGCAGGATTGGCATTGTGTGTTGCAAATATTTGTTTCCTTTTTTTTTTTTCTTTTTTTTTCCCCGCAAGAAGAACTTAGAATGAGATCACAAAGGTTAATATTAACTCTGAGGGGTAGTTTCTTTGGATTTCTTCTACAGTCAACAGAGACAGGAATTAATTCTCTCTGAAGAGCAACTCAGAGTATTTGAACTTAGGTTTTTCTCTGAGCTGTTTGCCAATGCAGTGTTGCTAAGTAGAGAGGGTTGGAAGGCAGCTTTTGGGAGTACTACCCTTGTGAGGAGTAGTACAAAACCTTGTGCAACTTCTGTTAGCTAAGTAAAAATGACCCACCAAATAGAAAAAGAAACATACTTTGAAATCAACATTTCTCAAAACTAAAGTTATGCTGCAAAATCTGTGTACTTTGAGACACATAGTATCTTTTTTCACATATCATCTCAGTTTGCATAAGAATTTCTGATATTTTTAGTTAGCTTCCTGTTCCAGACCTGTTACTGTTCATTATTAAGCCCAACTTCTGGAGAGTTTCCTTTGTTGCAAGATAGTAATTTTCATCTCTTAATTCCATGGACTTATTTTTAAAAAAGAAGAAAAAATAGAAAAAAAAAAACCTGTGACTGGTGGTTCTATTTATTTTAAAGCATGGAATTCCTGCATCTGATGTTGATTTTAGATGTGGTTTCCTTTCTGTTTAAATGTGCATAATCTTTTGGACATGGCTTGACAGTTGCTCAGTGTGAATGAGTCAGGAGTGCATGTGACCAGAATACTGATGTGACACGGGTACAATCTTTGGGTGCTGTAGATGTTAAGCATTAGCTAAAACTTCTGTTGTTGTTCTCTCTCTAGCGTGGTTCCAGTAACAGAGGCAAGTGTAATTATTGCAATCTCGTCTCCACACAGAGCAGAGTCCCTTGAAGCTGTAACACATTGCATCAACAGTTTAAAAGCATTTGTCCCAATATGGAAAAAGGTATGTTTGGGACAAATTTGGTTCTAGCCACTGCAAGGATCTTAGACACTGCAAGGATCTGGACTGCTGCTGGCTCTTAGGGAAGGAGCCATAGTGTTATGGGCAGCAGTTGCTCCTGAAGAGATGCTTTTTTCTTTTTTTTTTAACTTTAATGCAACCAGGCCTGAATGTGGCATTCAGGGACCAGGAAAACCCTCTCTTGCTTGTGCCTCCCAGCTACTCTTCTTCTTAATGCCTTTCTGGGGTAAGAGTGAAGGATTCTTGAGCTCATCTCTTCTGAGTAAAGTTCAGTTCTGCATATACTAGTGGAAGCACTTAGAATGTATTGTCTTGGATGGCATTGCAGTTTGCAAGTGGAAGTGGCATTTCTTTCTATTTTTCTCTCATCTCTATGGCTATGGATAGGCACAAAGCATTAAGAAGCAGGACACAGACATATAGCAACAGCACAGAGTGAAGGAGTATTCAGTGGTCTGAAAGCTCATTTAGAGACACAATAATGTGTGTAGAGTGCAGCCTAAGTCTAGAAAGAGCCACATTGCATAACCACAGGATTACATGCAATTGGTGGACATTACCTCTGCCTTCTCTTACTTTCCAAACTTGGCATGTAGTAACAGTGGTTTCTTGAGTTGCTCAGTGTAGAACAGTATCTTCCGTATCACTTTTCTGACACCTACTTCAGGAGACTGAAGTTACATGATTCCAGAAAGAATAATTGGGTTCACAACCCTGCTAAATTTGCTACTTGGGACTGGACTGCTGTTGGGTAGTCCAGTCTATCCTGAAGATGTAATGCTGTATTTTGAGACTTGGTGTCATTTTTTTTTTTTTTTTTTAAACACATTTTCTAAACATTTAAACACTCTAATTCCTAAAATGATGGTAGTATTTAGGACACAAGTGCTGTGTACTATACAGCTTCTGCATCCTTTCTTCTAAATCTCTTTCTTTAAGTGACTTCAATATAGATGAGGCCTTCTAAATGTAATGGGTTCAGCTCCAGGTTCAGCATGTGCCCACATGTAAGTCAGTGTTTTCTGAAGATGATCCCCCTTTTCTGTTTGCCAGCTAAGTATAGTGTAGTCCTGATGTGGTCAGCAAATAATTGCAAGATGGCTGTTGAATTGTTTGGCCTGGCTTATGCAGGCTGTGACTGTATGTAGTGGACTCCCACAATATTTCTCATTCTTTGTTTATATTCACAGGAGATTTATGAGGACAAGTATTCTTGGAAGGAAAACAAGGAATGCTTTTGGACAAATTCAGAAAAATAACTGTACTCTTTTATAAATAAAGTGTTACTGCTCCTAATGAGTATTCTGTTCTAGCTTTGAGTTGTTCTTACATAGAATCTATGTGATCTTAAGCAATTGTAATAGGCATTTCAATCTGAATAATTTAATCAGGACTGTATGAAATTAATGAGCAGTAGTTAGGATTTTCTTAAAGTGTTAAGTGTTCTTAAATCCTTTGAAAACATGGAGTCAGTTTTTAAAACTATCTTTCCTAAAATTCATGGCTGCAAGACATTTAATCCTCTGTGATACATACTGCTTTAGTTCTTCTGTGTTTGTAGTCTTTGTTTGCTGTTTTCATGAGAGGTCACAACAAGACAATTGGATACTAATACTCTGCCAGCAACAAACTTGCACTAGCAATAGCACATAAACTTGTATTTACCTAATGATGTCTAGACATGATTGATTTTGAAGGAGTTTTTTTGGATGTGTAATTTTGTGATTCTACAGGAAAAACATCCTCAAGAATAAGTTTAATTAGATTTAGAAGTTTGACCTAAGGCAAGTTAGGATGCAATGTCATCAGAATGGATTAGTTGTTGAAAGAAAAGTTAAATCTATTGCGTATGTACATTGCAAGGAATTCACAGCTTATATATGCCTTTAAATTCACATTTACATTTTTAATAGTTTTTCACTTATGTTTTACAGTCTAAGAGAAAAGGACGGACATAGTATGCCTGTTCTTCCACTGTGGACAATAGGCTGCTTATCTGATTAGAATTGTTTTCTTTATATTATTCCGTACCGCAAAGCATGGTAGATGTTAAAAGTTCAAGGTGGCATTGTGTGTGATATTTTTACTAGTGGCAAATGGCAGATTTATCTAATTGTTATCGATGTAGAGAAGAAAGGTATTCTAAGAAAAGGGGAATGCAGTTAAGTAAAATCATTTTTACTGAAGCTGATATATCATTTCATAACACAATACTTAAGCCTCAGCTGTATGAATCCGTTTCATTGTGTCTGCAATAAAAACCTTCACAGCTGCTAGCAGCACAAAATGAAACTGGAAAAATAGGCAGTGATCGTTTTCCCCAGTGATGTCAGTCATTTTTAATGCTTAGTGATGGTTACTGTACTGGGTTACATAAACCCCAGAAAAGCACGCAACTTCAGGTAAACAGGTGGTTAAACTGGTTAAAGCTTTATAGCTTGCTGCTGCACTTTCCCTCAGTGGGAGTTCTTCCTCTGAAGGACAGCAGTTGCTCCTTGTATGCATGTGTATACACAGTCTTCAAACCATGTTGGCTCTATTGTCTAGGCAGAGCTGAACAAGTTAAAGGTTGCATGGATGTTGGAGAGAAGCCCCCTGTTAATTTGAGTGTCATTTTTGGTGGGAATTGTATGGAATCCTGACTACAGATCACTTCTTCAGACAAGTAATTATTTTTGTTCTTAAAAAACAAACAAACAAACAAACCCAAAAACCAATAAAAAACAATCAAAGACACAAACAGTTTCCAGTGTTTTTGTGTTTTTGCACATTAATTTGTTTGTTGTTACTATGCAACTGATTAATTTCAAGCAAATGGCTAGCTTGCCTTGTGATGTAAGGTTTATGATAGAAGTAAAGCCTGTACAATTTTTACATGCTCAAGTTGTGCTTTAATGCAGGAAGACTGATACTTAGAAGAGTTAAATTGTACTTGGAGCTCTACAGATTCAGAGAACCTTAGGATGATATAGGTTGGAAAAAACATTCAAGATCATCAAGTCCAATGATTGAGAGCAACTCCTGTGTAAGGCAAACTCTGTTGCCTTCGTACTTCTCTGGTGCTGCAGTCTCTTTGAGGATTTGTCCAGGGTGACCTTAAGTGCACCTTCTCCTTCAGCAATGCAGCTGGGACAGAGGGTGCAGAAAAGAAGAGAAAGAATAATGGTGTACTTCCCTGCAGTGACCAGGAACAATGAATGGAAGAGATGTTGTACTGAGTCACAGCTGAGTGCTACAATGTGTGTATGCTGCCATGGTCAAAACAATGAAATGTCATTTTATGTCCCTAGCTGTGCATGAGGCAAGTAGTGCTTTGTTCTGGAACAATGATGCATCAGTATTGTGTAACTTTGGGTTCTTCTGCTGGCATCTGAAAGCAAAATGGAAAAGTCCCTAGGAGGGATGATGTGCATAGAGGTAAAATGTATGTAACTGAAATGTAAATACATAACCTGAACTATTTGTTCAGGCTCCTTCTGTTGTGCTACACTCTGCTAGAGAAATTATTTTAAGATGGCAAATTACTCTTCTCTACCATAGCTGCCTGAGGCTATGTCTAGAGCAACCCAGAACTGCTTCCAAATTTCCAGGCCTGGGGATGAACTTCAGCTGCTTAACTGCATGTCAGAGAAAGATGCGGCTGCACATGTCCTGGTTTCACAGAACTAGGCTGCTGGATGAAAACTACCGAGTGTTCTGATGAATATGAGCTGGACAACAGAACAGTATAAATGCAGATCTTGTTGTCTGGGATGAGTGCAGCTTTTTCTCTGATTTGACTATAAGTGAAGGTAATCCTACCTCATTGCTGCTCTTCCAGCTGTGTCACAGTAAGCTATAGAGATGAGGCTGTGAGGAGAGATGGATGTTCCTGGAAGCAGACCCTGTAAACCAGAAGGTAAATCTGTCACTAGTGTAGTGACCTGCATGACAAAGGGTACACTGGGGGTGAAGAACGTGTCTTCAGAATGAGAATTTGTCCTTCTGAAATGTCTTGGATTTGACTGGTGATATTTAAATAGACTGTTCCCTTTGTCTGTACATCAGCATTGCATAAGTTTAAGTTTCCTGCATCAAAACTTTTCATTTTGCTCTGTTCACAAGAGAAGCTCAGAATGACACATTTTGAAAACACAATGTGAAAATGCAACTGATGGAAGAGACACCTACCCAGGAGATGGCAGCAGAGGGACAGATGTGTGTGTGGGCAGCGGCCTGGGAGCACAGTCGCGCTGTGCTGGGCTCCATCTGCAAAATACAGGTGCTCACTTCTGTAATCCATGAAACTACCACTGTTGTACTCAGTAATGAGGCCTTTAAGTTACTCAAGTTTAAAGTAAGCTGGCTTTTCTTTCAGCTCACTTTGCCTTTAGCTGTTCAGGGAATTTCTGCTTCACAGACTATCTAATCATAAAATCATAGGCAGGCTTAGGTTGCAAGGGTCCTTGAAGACCCTCTAATTCGACCCTCCTGCCATGGGTGGGGTTCCCACCCACCCGATCAGGTTGCCCAAGGCCTGTCCAACTCGGGGCCCTGAACACCTCCTGAGATTAACTTCTTTGTGTAGCCTGTGCTAGTGCCTCACCATGCTCTGAGGACAGAATTTCTGCCTAATGTCTGATCTAAACCTCACCTCTTTTAATTTAAAGCTATTTCCCTTTGTCCTATTACTATCCACGTAAAAAGTCAGTCTTCCTCCTTCAAGTATTCTCTTCAAGTACTACTAAAACTGTTGATGGAGTATAATGAAAGTAACTTCGCCCTAAGCTCTGAAAACTCAGTTTTGGGCTTCTCCATTAAGTGCTGTCTTGCAGAGGTGTGTGAAGAAAGAGTTAAAAATAGGTGGGTAACTATAAGTGAGCATATCTAAGGACAGTGATTTTCTTGGTCCAGATAATATGAGTCATGTTACAAAAATTAGCATCCTTATATATTTTGATAGTGATTCTGTTTTAAAAGTTTGATTTCTGCTACTTCGAGAGAAAGAGGTAAATCACTGTTAAAACTACTAACACGTCAAAGCCTGTGACTGCCTATGAAAAATGAATCATAAGTGAAGGCACAAAGGTTGATTGAAAAGATAGGACTTGGCTTTTCTGAGGTTGTGTAAATTATGTATGCTTTATTACCTTTAAAGGCAACAATAAATTGAGGTAGTTAACTATCGATTTCATATTTGTATCATTTCTTTAATATGCAAGGTTTTGTTGCTCTCTAGTTTTGTATATAACAGATAATACATACTAGTTAGTAGATAAGGAAGCTGGATTTCAGTTTTCCTAAACAGCAAAATGGGGTGAATGACAGAATCTCATGCCTTAAGATCAGAAACATTTGATTCTATTTTGTGGAAATTCTAAGGTTTGTAGCCGTAAAGTATATAGACACAAAGCATGGGGCTGGCAGAATACGGTGCAATTTCATAGAAAATAGAAAATAATCATATGCATATAGGAAGGCCTGGTGCTGGTGCAGCTTTGTATACCTCACAGAGTCACCACCTTAGGTTTTTTTGCTGTGTGCTATTGGAATAATTACATATTTGACCCATTTTATGCAGTGCTTTTTCAGTAGCGTTTCTTTCCTTTAGAGTGCTGTATAAAAATAACCGAGTCTCTGTTCAGCAGTATTCTTGTTTTTATTATTATGATGCTATTAGGCCTTCAGGTAGGCACCACAGAAATACAGTCCCTGCTCTCAGAGAGCTTACACACTAGTTTTCAGAAGTCTGTTTGCTTATAAACTCTCTTTTCCATCTACATCTAGTCTCATGTGAAACTCCACGTTTAGACTTTATTCTAGTACTTCCAGAAGTCAGCAGCTAGATTCAATTCTAAGGTCAAATATACCTTGAGATTGTTGAAAAGAGTTCCTGACTTCTCTGCTGCAAGCACAAACAGAAGCACATGCTGAAGTCCAACATTTTGAGTATTATTTCATTTGCAACATGCTATTTTTTTAAAAAAAAAGTAAAACTAAAAAATCCATAATACAAAATATACATAATATTTCCAGCATTATTTGTGGCTGTGCCAACTTAACTTAAAAGTGCAGTAAAGTAACCCATAGCAAAAAACTGAACTAGCCAAGTATTAATTATAAAAGAAAAATAAAACTAGTAACTTGAAGTGGTTAGGATAGAAAACTTACACATTGTTATGCTTTCCCTTTATTTCAGGGAAAGTATTATTCCAAGGATTAAGAGGACTCCTGTTGTCTGGGACAAAATAAAACCTATTGTAGACTGGTGAGCAGAATTGTTGCTGTCTATGAACTGTTAAATAACCAAGACGTTGGGT